CTTGTCTGACTCATCCATTCTGTCTCACTTCCTTGCTTATTATTCCACCCAAACACACACACACACACACACACACACACACACACACACACACCATTTCTTCCACAAGTATGATATTTGATATTAGGGGATCACACTGGTCTCTGAGGAATAAGGATCCTTCAGCTTTTTTCTTTTTTTTTTTTCCTTTAACATTTTACTGGGAATTGGGTGAAGGTTTACAGAGCAGATCCATTTTCCATTCAGTAATTCAGACACATTGTGTTTCATATCACTGGTTGCAGTCCCCACAATATAACATCACTGATCCCATTTCCTGTGTCTTCCTTTCCATTTCTCCTTTCCTAACCTCTCCTGCCTTCTGAACTTTGTCCCTGGGAAAAGGCTGCCTTCAGTGATTCTTTATTCTAAGGGGTGCATACTTCCCTAAAGTTATTGTTCATCTTACAATATTGTTTGACTGAAAACTAAGCCACAGACTGAATTCAGTTGCAGATCTGAAGGGTGACCAAGGACCCATAGTCTCGGGGATTTCACTTGTGAGCTTGGACTGTTTTTATTATTTTAAGTTTTTGTTGCACATTTTTCTTCTACTCTATCTGGGACCTTCTAATGTTATCCTTCTCAAACTAGTCAGCAGTGGTAGCTGGGCACCATCTATTACTGGTTTAGTCGTGAAAACAGATGGCCCATTAAATTAGTCCACTAAACTAACTGTTCCTTGTATCTTTCTTTGATTTTCTTCTTTTTATTTATTTTTTTTCTCTGAGTGGGAAGAAACTAATAGTTGCACCTTCTATGGCTGCTCACAAGCTTTTGAAACCAGTCACTAATCACCAAAGTAGGATGCAAAACATTGTCTTATGGACTAAGTTCTACCAGTTGACTTTGGTGTCCCCCAAGATTATGGTTCTGAGCCCCCAGGCCCAACAAGGCATTCAAGCAAACTCAAACCAAGGTGTTTGGTTATGGCTAAGAAGTTTTCATAATTTTGTCCCGGAATGATCTACTATATTCATAGCTATGTTTCCAGCAGTGTTTTTGTTAGCGTGTCGTTGAGTTAGTTCTATATCATAGCAATCCTATGTACAGTTAATGAGACACTACCTGGTCCTGTACCATCTTCACAGTTATTGCTGTGCTTGAGCCCACTGTTGCTGCCACTATGTCAGTGCATCTCATTGTGTATCTTCCTCTTTTTCACTGACTCCTTGCATGATGTCCTTCTCCAGGGACTGGTCCCTCCTGACAGTATGTCCAAAGCACGAGAGATGAAGTCCCGCCATTTTTGCTTCTAAGGAGCATTCTGGCCATACTTCTCCCAAGACAGATTTGTTAGTTCTGGCAGCCTATGGTACTTTCAATATTTTCTATTAGCACCATGTTTCAAATACATTGATTCTTTGATGGTGTTCCTTTGTCATTGTCTGTATTTGTACCATCACCAGGCTGTTTTAACTACCCTGGCTGGCAGTAGGGTCTAGAGATTAGGGCATGTGAGACTTCCTACTTTGTTCTTATTTAGTAGTGCTTTGCTTATCCACGATCTCTTTAAGTTTATCATATAAAGTTTATCAGGTCACTGTCCTGATTGGAATGCTGTTTGCAAAAGTTTAAAATGACCGTGCTGCATCCGGCCAGCTGACCATTCACTATTCCCTTTTAACTGGTTGGCTGCTCATAGCAGACTTCACCATAGGATTAGTTGCTTTATATTAGAGCTTATTAACTTGAAACATTTACTTATGAAGATCAAAGAGCGCAGCCTTCGGTATGGTTTGCATCTCAATGTCAAGAAAACAAAATTCCTCACCACTGGACCAATAAACAACATTCTTATCAATGGAGAAAAGATTGAAGTTGTCAAGGACTTCATTCTTCTTGGATCAACTATCAACACTCGTGGAAGCAGCAGTCAAGAGATCAGAAGACGTATTGCATTGGGCAAATCTGCTGCACAGGGACTTTTTAAAGTATTGAAGAGCAGAGATGTCAGCTTAAGGACTAAGGTGAGCCTGACCCAAGCCATGGTATTTTCAATAGCCTCATATGGATGCGAAAGCTGGACAGTGAATGAGGAAGATGGTAGAAGAATTGATGCCTTTGAGTTGTGGTGTTGGAGGAGAATACTGAAAGTGCCATGGACTGCCAAAAGAACCAATAGATCTGTTTTGGAAGAAGTGCAACCAGAGTGCTCCTTGGAGGCCAAGATGGCTAAGCTTCGTCTCTCATACTTTGGACATATTGTTAGGAGGGAACAGTCGCTGGAGAAGGATGTCATGCTGGGTAAGGTGGAGGGTCAGAGAAAAAGGGGAAGACCCCTAAAGAGATGGATTGGCCAGGTGGCATCATTGATGGACTCAAGTGTGGCAGCGGTAGTGAGGTTGGCCCAGGATCAGATATTGTTTCGTTCTGCTGTGCATGGGGTCACTATGAGTCAGTTCTGACTCGATGGCACCTGACAACAACAACAAGGGGATAACTATATTTTAACTGCCAACCCACTGAGAATCCTGGCTGCCTAGTCAAGTTGATATAAAACCTTAATTATCACACCCTGTGTGCTGAGAGTTGAGCTTTACTCCATAGGGTTTTCTGAGCTCTGACATATGGGAAGCAGATCACCTGACCTTTCTTCTGAGGTGCTTCCGGGTGGGTTTGAACCACCAACCTTTCAGTTATTAGTCAAGCATTTAACCACTTGTGCCATTCAGGTTCTCCTGTCAGGAAAAGAAAAATCCATTGGTTGTTTGCAGAACCAACAATTGACATTCCAGGGCCTTTCCTCTCCTTTTTCCAAGGCTAGAGCAGAGGGACGGGCACACTGGGTAGTCAAGGACTTTTCCACTCCCATTACCAGGCTTTGTTTGGTTGTGACATAGACCCCACTAGATCCTGTAGTACTTCCTCCTTCTGTTTAATTTAACAAACACTTACCACACAGTTAGATGTACTAGGAAGTATACAAATGCTTTTCATGTGTTCTCTTTTAATCCTTGGACAACTTAATAAACTGAAGGTTTTTTGGTGTGTTTTATTGTTATTGTTGTTGTTTTGTTTTTTGATAAATACATACAGTGAGGCTCAGAAAATTCAAGAATCTTTCTTGAAAGCTGGAACTTCAATCTTTTAACCAGTATTGTCAGGACTATGTGAAGTGTTGAAGGCATAAAAAACTAATATGACACAGATCCTGTCCTCAGGAAGCTTATCGTTTCATTAGAACAGACTCATTAACACACGTTGTTGCTGTTGTTAAGTGCTGTCGAGTGGGTTCCGACTCATAGCAACCCTGTGTAGGGTTTCTGAGGAGCAGCTGGTGGATTTGAACTGCTGACCTTGCAGTTCAAACCAACCTTGCAGTCCAGTGCTTATTCTGTAATGCCACGCCAGGACTCCCGTTAACATCATTTCATTTAAACGTGGGGAAGTATGGGCTGTGACAAAATGACAGGCACGCTTGGTTTTATTGTTTCATAGAGACTGCTGCTTTTGGGGGGGTCACATTTTGGTAATTCTTAAAATATTTCAGACTTTCTTATAATGATATTATATACTTAAAAGACTACGGTGTAGCACAAATAAAACTTTTGTATGCCCTGGGAAACCCCAAAATTCATGTGAGTCACTTTACTGTAATATTTGCTTTATTGTGGTGGTCTGGAATTGAACCCCCAATATCTCAAAGGATGCATATAAAAGCACAGAAGTTATGAGAGCATAGAGGAGTATTTACAGGATGATGCAGTTCTAGGCTTCGCCTTGGATTGTTATGAGTTGGAATCCGTTTGATGACGTACGACAGCAGCGGCAGCATGGTGGAGGAACTGATGTTCGAGTTGAGTGAATCATCCTCTGGGGCATATTATCAGGCTGCCATAGAATTACGAATGAAGAAGCCACTGATCCTCTGGCCCAGTTCATTTCTGGGCCATTGTTTTCCCAATCATCTTAATCCAGTACATTCATGTGTAGATATTTCTAAACACTGATCCTTTGAGCTGATAGATAATGTCTAAGTTCACATATAAATGGGCAGCAAGGCACAAAATCACTACTTGGATGTATAGAACTAAAATGCTACTAATCAGTTAAACATCTGGGTTTTTTTTTTTCAAAAGTACTATTACTTTTATGATAAAAGTACTATTTTATTAATGCAATATCTAGCAGGTGCTAGATTAATGAGATTGTTGAGTAAGTAAATGGATAAAAGAATTAATGATCTACAACATGGATAAACAAAATTATTTCTGTCAAGTCAGATAGTAAATATTTTAGATTTTGTGGACATGACTTTTGTTGTAAGGACTCAATTTTGTTGTAGCGCAAAAGCAGCAATGATCATAAGCAAATGACTGGGCAGTACTGTGTTCCAATAAAACTTTTTTTTTTTTTTTTTACAAAAACAATGGTGGAAGGGCACATTTGGCCATAGGCCAACCCGTGATATATAATAATCAATACTTTTCAAAAATTATGATGTGCAGAAGATAGGTATGTTTTCCTCTTAAATAGAATATATAATTTTTTTTTAATTCTGTGCTGAATTTTGTGCAGGTAACGTATCTTGGAAAAGAGCTTTTAAAGTATGTTTCTGAAGAAGTACCTAGTGTTCCAGAACCAAACTTGGTACCTCAACAGCATCAACCTTGTCTTCCAGGTATGTACAGACTAGCACCCATTTCTTAATTGTGGATTAAAAGCATCCAGACCTACTGAGAAAGCACTCCTTTTATTTCCAGTCAAACTGAAATCCACACATGAAATGAACCATTGTAAAGTGAAGAGTGTAGTGACATTTTCTACATTCACAATGTTGTACAGCCACCACACACCTACTTTCAAAACACTTTAATCACACCATTGGAAACCCAGTATCCATTAAGCAGCTCGTTTTTATACCTTACTCCTGGGACTCTGGCAACCACCAATCTACATTCTGTCTCTTTGGATTTACCTATTCTGGATCTTTCACATGAATGTGTACAATGCAGCCCTTTTGTGTCTAGCTTCTTTCATTTTGCACAGGACAGTCATGTTGTAGTGTATGTTAGTATTTCATTGCTTTTTATGGATGAAGAATGTTCCATTATATATACTAGTGTGGGTTTATGTACACACATACATATACATACACAGGGGCTTTAGAAAGCCTGGAAAAATGGAATTACAAAATAATGGAAGTGCTTCACAAACATATTAAGACTCCCCTCATATGTATATGCATATATATCTATATACATTGACTAAATGTCACATTTGTTTATCCATTCATCCACTGATGGGCAATTGGGATGTTTCCAGCTTTTGGCTGTTGTGAATGGTGCTGTAATAAATATGCAGGTACATGAGTTTGTTTGAGTACTTGTTTCCAGTTCTTTTAGGAATAAACGTAGGAGTGAAATTACTGGGGGTGTGGTGCTGTGGGTTAATGCGCCAGACTGCAAAGCTGTTTGAACCACAAGGTCGGTGGTTCAAGCTCATCAGTTGCTCCTCAGAAACCCTATACAGGGTCACTATGAGTCAGAATCAACTCAATGGCACTTAACAACAACAACATGTTAATTAAGGAAGAAGTCCAAGGTGCATTGAAGGAATTGGCAAAGAACAAGGCACCAGGAATTGATGGAATAAAAATGAAAATCTTTCAAGAAAGTGAGGCAGCACAGGAGGCACTCATTTATCAATGCCAAGAAATTTGGAAGACAACTATCCAGCCGACTGATTGGAAGAGATCCCATATTTGTGCCCATTCCAAAGAGAGGTAACTCAGCGGAATGTGGAAATCATCAGACAATCTCTTTGATATCTCATGTGAGTAAAGTTTTACTAAAGGTAATACAGAAATGGCTACAAGCATACATTGACAGAGAACTTCCAGAGGTTCAAACCGGATACAGAAGAGGCCATGGAATGAGGGATATCATTGCTGATGTCCACTGGATCTTGGCTGAAAGCAGAGAATATCAGAAAGATGTTTACCTGTGCTTTATTGATTACACAAAGGCTTTCAATTGTGTGGATCATAAGAAGCTATGGACAACATTGTGAAGTATGAGTATTCTGGAACACTTAATTGTGCTCATGAGGAATCTGTACATAGACCAAGAGGCAGTTGTTCAAACAGAACATGGGAACACTGAATGGTTTAAAATTAAGAAAGGTATGAGACAGGGTTGTATTCTTTCGCCATACTTATTCAACCTGTGTGCTGAACAAATAATCCAAGAAGCTGGGTTCTATGAAGAAAAACGTGGCATCAGGATTGGAGGAAGACTCATTAAGAACCTGCAATATGCAGATGATACAACCTTGCTTGCTGAAAGTGAAGAGGACTTAAAACATTTACTGATGAAAATCTAAGACCACAGTGTTCCGTATGGATTACATCTCAATGTAAAGAAAACAGAAATCCTTACTACTGGACCAGTAAACAACATTCTTATCAATGGAGAAAAGATAGAAGTTGTCAAGGACTTCATTCTTCTTGGATCAACCATCAGTACTCATGGACGCAGCAATCAAGAAATCAAATGATGTATTGCATTAGGCAAATCTGCTACACAAGACCTTTTTAAAGTACTGAAGAGCAAAGACGTCAGCTTGAGGACTAAGGTGTGCCTGGCCCAAGCCATCGTATTTTCAATAACCTCATATGTATGCGGAAGCTGGACAGTTAATAAGGAAGACCGTAGATGAATTGATGCATTTGAAGTGTGGTGTTGGAGGAGAATATTGATAGTGCAATGGGCTGCCAAAAGAAGCAATAGATCTGTATTGGAAGAAGTGCAGCCAGAGTGCTTCTTGGAGGCCAGGATGGCCAAACTTTGTCTCTCATACTTTGGACATACTGTCAGGAGGGACCATTCGCTGGAGAAGGATATCATGTTTGTAAGGTGAAGGGTCAGAGAAAAAGAGGAAGACCCCCAGCGAGATGGATTGGGAAAGTGTCAGCATCAATGGGCTCAAGTGTGGCAACAATAGTGAGGTTGGCCCAGGACCGGGCAGTGTTTCGTTCTGTTGTATATAGGGTCGTTATGAGTCAGTACCGACTCGATGGCCTCTAACAACAACAACACATGTTAATTAAAGCCGTTTGAACTTCAGGGTTGCAGTTCAAGCTCACCACCTACTCCTCGGAAACCCTATACAGGGTCACTATTGATCGGAGTCTACTTAGCAGCACTTAACAACAACAGTGTTAATTCTGGGGGTCCTGGTGTGGCTCTGTGGGTTAATGCATCAGACTGCAAAGTCATTTGAACTGCAAGGTTGGTGGTTCAAGCTCACTAGTTGCTCCTTGGAAACCCTACTGGGTCACTGTGGGTCGGAATTGACTCAACGGCACTTATCAACAGCAACATGTTAATTCTATGGTTAACTTTTTGAGAAACAACCAAATAGCTTTCCACGAGGTAGCCCCATTTTACATCCCTACCAGTTATGCACCGTAGTGCTGATCAGTCTCTTTTCAGCGTCACCAACATTCAATATTTCCTGTTTTTAATTTAAATTGTTATTGTTGTTAAATGCCTTCAAGTCAGTCCTGACTCATACCGATCCTGTATAGAGTTTCCAAGGAGCAGATGGTGGGTTTGAACCACCAATCTTGCAGTTAGCAGTCCAATGCTTCCATTTTTGATGGTTAATTCTAGGAGAATTTAAGAAATGACACCTTCCCTCACAGTTCTTTTCTCTGAATCTGAGTCTGGTGTGGAGCTGTAAGATAAGCATGGATTTGCAAAGTTGGAGTTCAAACCCACCAGCCGCTCCTTGGAAACCCTATACAGAGTCACTGTGAGTTGGAACCAGCTCAGTAACACTTAGCAATAGCAACTGTATGCTGTACCTACTTTGGATAGATTTCTTTTAAGTGTCATATAAAAGGGGGGCGAAAAGTATTTCTCAGTCATGAAGGCATGATTTGGTTTATTTTTTACGTTTTATAAAAGCAAGTAAAAAATGAATCTTTGTTTATTGTTGTTGTTGTCAGGTGCCATCGAGTCGGAACCGACTTTGTTTATTAGCATATACAAATATGCTTTATTTAATGGAATAAACCTTAGTCTGAGAAAACAGAGGAAGATGAAGTCCTCATCAATGAGTGGCAGATTCTGAAATGATTGGTCCAGGGGCAGCATACCTTTCTGAAAAAATGGACGTAGCTGATGTTAGGTTTTCAGATTCCTCTGAGACAGTGCCCTCTTTCTTCCCCAGTGTCCATGTCTCGGACAGGTTAAAATCACTCTTGGCGGCGGGAGGGTGGAAGGATTCTGAAGTACTGCTTCTGTTGAAACAGTTTCTTGTTAAGTAAAAATTTCCCTTCACCTTAGAGATTTCAGAGAATGCTAATGTTAACTTCAGAACTGTGGAGATGCCAGTGTGCCAAACAGCTTCTCAGTACCTTGGCCTGAGGCTAAAATTCTACAGGCAGGTCCCAGCTGACATTCCATAGACTGATGTTGGAATTTTGTTTGAACTTTCTTGATTTAGAGTTCTTTTATCCCTGATCTTGTGGTACGTAAAAGAACGCCCTGGGCTGCCTCAAAGGAGCTCCTTGGAGGAGCTGTAGATTAGGCCTTGTGCTGCTTGCTAACCATAGGTCAGTGGTTCAAACCCACCAGCTGTTCCACAGGAGAAAGATGAGAGGCTGTGTGCTCCCGGAGAGATTTGCCGCCTCAGAAGCCCTAGTGACTTAAATGACAGTGGATTTGGTTTTGTTTTGAGAGAAATACAAAGACTTGGTAAACTCAAACTCTAGTGCAAACAAAGCATTCAAAAGAGAATATTGCTCCCTCTTCTACATTGGGCTGCGAACCTTAAGGTCAGCGGTTTGAAACTACCAGCTGCTCCGCGGGAGAAAGATGAGGTTTTCTACTCCCGTAAAGATTTACACCCTCGGAAACCCTGTACAGGGTCGCTATGGGTCGGAACCGACTCGATGGCACATAACAACAACAATAACAACTACATTTCAAAATACAACATTAGAAGTTGTGACTCTGGAAGAATTAGTCCATAAGCTTTTGTTGTTGTTGTTAAGTGCCCTCGAGTCACTTCTAACTCATAGCAGCCCTGCATAGGGTTACCAAGGCTGTAACATTTTGCAGGAGCAGAAAGCCTCATCTGTCTCCTGTGGAGTGGTTGGTGGATTCGAACCTCCGACCTCATGGTTCTCAGTTCAGTGCTTATCGTACCTTAGATCACCAGCATAATCTATTCCCAAGCTTTTTTATGATTACACTCTTCAGAACAGTGTTTTTCAGGAATAAGGGGAATTAGGGAGAACTATTTACATTTCTGGTGACTGATGTGATCATGCATTCTGATTTAATTAGAACACTCAACTCCTTTCTGATTCAGCAAAATTAGTGGTTGCACTCTCTTTGACTTTCAGAAGTACTGTTTAGATGACCCAGTGTAGGAACTGAGCCAATAGGAGTTGAAGAAAATGGAATTTGGTTAGGGTGAAAAAGAAAAGAAAACGAGAAACTTTTCAATTTGATCTACCTGCAGAATAAGTAAATTCTTGTGGTGGTGTCCATTGCCATTGGCTTGATCCCGACTCATGGTAACTCCATGTGTCCAGGAAGCTGATCGCCAGACCTACCTCCCAAGGCAGCTGCATAGGTTTGTCCACCAGCCTTCTGGCTAGTCCTGAAGTACTTCACCATTTGTGCTGCCCAGGAACGCCTAGGAAGTATTTGTTGTTGTTGGTAAGTGTCGTCGAGTTGGTTCTGACTCATAGCAACCCTGTATAGAGTTTCTGAGGAGCAGCTGGTATGTTAGCAGTCTAGTGCTTTTCCTACAGTGCCACACCAGGACTCCAGAAGTGTATAGACCCTAGCATATTCCTAGGCAAATAGATAGTCTTATGCATACCGCCTTATCTTATAAATAATTGCTGGTTTCTGCTTCGCGGGAGAAAGATGAGTCGTTCTGCTCCTGTAAAGATTTACAGCCTCGAAAACCCTATTCAGGGTCGCTGTGGGTCGGAACCGACTCAACGGCACTTAGCAACAACAACAACAGGCTGGGAAAGTATTTGTGTGCTGAGACACTGGAAGCGCTTGCTTTTGATTCTCCAATATCTGTCACATAGTAGCTCTCCAGTTAAAGTCCACTGAATAATGCACATTAAGTAAATGAATGACTGAATGAAAGCTTGCGTATGATCCAAATGGCTGATCATTTAAAACTGCATTTACTTGTGACTGACCATCTTAATAAATGGGAATGCCTACATCATGCAGGCTATAATAAGTTTGTGGTGAAGAATGCAACAAATGGTCAGTGGGATTTCAATTGGCTGACATTATCTCCATTATCTGAATTTGCTGCTTACAATTTTGAGAGTGGTGGCCCTCCACATTTTCTCAACCAGGGAATTTAAAAGGAAGCTATCATCATCAGTGTTCCTCTCTCTCTCTTTTGTTCTTTTTCAATGTCTCTCTTGTCTTTAATCTGTGTCATTTACCACTGGGACAGAAACTATAATGTAAACCTAGTTAGGGAGGGAGTTGATGCAGCCTCCGGTCTCATCATCCACGGTGATGTTATTGCTGTTGTGTGCCATTGAGTCTGTTCTGACTCATAGCGATCCTGTATAGGATTTCCAAGACTGACTTTTGGGTTTGAGCCGCCAGCCTTGTGGTATAGTCCAGTGCTAATCCTACAGCACCACACCAGGAATCCAGTGATGGAAAGCGAGTAATGTCACTACAAGAGTCATCTCTTTAGTAGAAATAAAACACAGTCTTTGGCACCTCAGAAAACCTTTGGAACCTGGAAGAGCCCTAAGAGGTCAGCAAACGCATTTCTATCCCCAATCTGCAGATGAAAAGTTATGGCTTGTGTTGGAAAGAATGGTAGAAAAGATGGAAGTTAAAACTCATTGGACTGAATGAAAGCTTTTTGGTGGAAATGTTTACTCTGATAGTATCAGTGTGACTTTGACTCTTGTGCTACAGAAGGTCCAGTGGCACTGCACTGGAAGGAAGAAACCAGGGAGCTTTCTTCTGGCAACCACCTAGGGACATGTAACTTTGGAAAGTTCTGTCACTTCGTTAGGCCTCGTTGACTCTTGCTTAAAATGGGAAAAGTGGGGAATGACCAATTGTTTTTGTTGTTGTTAAGTGCCATCAAGTCGGTTCTGACTCATAGCGACCCTATGTAGCGTTTCCGAGGAGGGAGCAGCTGGTGAGTTTGAACCACCAACCTTACAGTTTGAACCAACATTGCAATCCTGCAAATTATCTTACAGTGCTACACCATTAAAAATGAGCTATTAAAAAATGATACTGGTGTTTAGATTTTGAGGAGACAGCAAAGAATTTACTCATTTGAAAGTGGACAGTTTCGGCACTCCTAAAATGTCTGCTCCCAAGGTTGATAACGGTGTTTTGATAATGATGATGATAAAGGTTAAAAAGGTGGGATAGGAAGATTATCAGTCATACTTTGAATTCCTAGTAGGTTCTCCCTCTGAGATTTAAAGCCTCGGAAACTCTCTACAGGGTCACTATGAGTTAGAACCAACTTGACGGCACTTAATAACAACTGGGGGCAGACTATGCCAAGCAGCTCAGAGCTCCAAGGGAAAATACTAATTGTCATTGAGAAAGTTTCTTCTGTTTTTGTTTTTGTTTTTTCCACCCTGCTGTCCTAACATTATGGTTTCCAGTGAATCGTCTTTCCAAGTCTCTAGTCAGGACAGACGTTCAGACAGGCAGACCACATGGAGAAGGCTGCTATGACACCACCTCCCATACATCTGACTCTGGTAACAGGGGTTCATTTTTACCTTCCATCCTAAGAAATATACAAAAGGAGGAGATAAAAGATGAGCACCGAGGAGATCAAAGATGGGCACACACTCTGATTTTCATTTTCAATTTCTGCGAAGGAATGTTTGCTACTTTAAGTTGACAATATTAACTAAATTTTTTGAATGGTTAATAGTGTAAGCTACATGTCTACCTAATTATCTCAGATTGCCCAGTCTCTTGTTATTGCTAAGTGCTGTGGAGCCAGTTCCGACTCATAGCAACCCTGTATTCAAAACCACCAATGACTTATCACTGGTGGTTCAAAACCACTGACCTAGTAGTTACTAGTCCAGTACTTAACCTACAGCGCAGCACCAGAGTTTGTATTATAGCTAATGAAACTGACTCAAGGTCTTATTGCCTAGTAAGTGGCAGGGCTTTATTGCTTTTGTTAGGTGGCATCAAGTTGGTTCCAATTCATAGCTACTCTGTGCCCAACAAACCAAAAAACACTTCCCAATCCTGCACGATCCTCACAATTATTCTTATGTTTGAGCCCATTGTTCTGCCACTATGTCAGTGCATCTCCTTGAGGGTCATCTTCTTTTTCATTCCACTTGACCAAGCATGTCCAGGGCCTGCTCCTTCCTGACAACGTGTCCAAAGCACAAGAGATGAAGTAAGGAGCATTATGATTGTACTTCTTTCAAGACAGATTTCTTTCTTCTCTGGCAGCTCATGGTGCTTTCAGTATTCTTCGCCAATACCGTAATTCAAACTCATCAATTCCTCTATGGTTTGTTTATTCACTGTCTAACATTTACATGCATATGAGGCAATTAAAAATACCATGGTCAGGCTCACCTTAGTCCTAAAAGTGACATTATTGCTCTGAAATACTGTAGAGAGGTCTTTTGCAAAATACTTGCCAAATGCAATCCATCATTTTATTTCATAACTTCTGTTTCCATGAGCATTGATTCAAGCAAAATGAAATCTTTGAAAACTTCAGTTTTTTCTCCACTTAGACAATTATGCTGTTTATTGGTCCAGTTGTGAGGATTTTTGTTTTCTTTACATTGAGGTG